ATTACTGGCATTTGGTGGTTCCACAGCTATAGTTTTTGACATTTCATATCTTGACAAGACATCTCATCCGTAGCGCGCTTCCACGTTTTACCTAAACCATCGTCTACAATGAGAACTTAAGCCATAAAATTTAAGCTTTAAGCCTTAAGCCGTAAGAAGTTGATCAATCACAGTCAATTATAAGAAAAATAATCGACTGTGATTGGCCACTTTCTTACAGCTTAAGTCTTAAAGCTTAAGTTTTATCTGTTAAATCCTCATTGTAGACGACGCTTAAAGCGTCGACATTTGCAATAATTGTAATAAAATAGCTATATTTAGTACACATTTGTGTTTATAACGCATAATATAGGGTAAAGGTGCCTAATATGAGACACCTTTTTTTAAAGACTTGTAAAGACTTTTTAAAGACTTTTAAAAACTTTTTAAAGACTTTGTAATTTATTTAATTTGTAACCGGAACTATGTAAAACCGTTTTTATGTAAAACTTATGGGAAATATATTCAGGTATTATCTCCAAAACTTAGTAATTAATAACAGCTATACTTTGTAATATATTGAATTTTTTATCAGAAGTGCCGATTTTGCTCTTTCAAAAAAAGATTTCCTAACATGAAACAAGAGACCCGACTAGAAATTGTCATCAGGTATACTTGAAATGTATAAGGTCTTAACTAGGCGTTCGCAACCCAGACAGCACAAAGACGTTTTAAAAACATATTAAAAACGTACGTATTGGACGTTATGTATGTATTTAAAACGTCCATTTCAGATCCACAAACGTTTTTAAGACATTTTAAAAACATCCGTTGTTATTTTTATGGATGTTCAAAAGACATCCAAATTAAGGATCCACCAGACTAAAACTGGACGTTCTTAGAACGAAAATAGAATGTTTACAATTTTGAATATTAAATGTTTCTAACCACCAAAAGAATATTTAAAAGATATTTGAAAAAGCATTTTTAAAAACGTTAAAAATAATGATATACCCAAATAGCACAAAATATTTATAAATTATTTACAAAATATTTATAAGATTTATTTGAATGTTTTATAAATATTTACCAAAATATTTCATAAATATTTTTATAACCTTAGCTTCAATAGATCATAAATATTTATCATAAATATTATAAAAATATATATATATATACATTTATATACTTTTTTTCTTTTCTGAACTTTTCTTAAATTTTTAAAATATATATATTCTTAGTTTTCACTTTATATTGTTTCACACATTCAAGTTAAATTTTACTTCGAAAATTTGCTTACCATTGGCCGCGATTCGAACCTGAGAATCTCTGATTCTTGAGTCATTCACTTTACCCACTGCGCCACTATCACTTTGACTGAGAGACGTTTTGTATTGTATACATATAGTATATTCATGCACGAAAACAAATGATTTATTTAAAAGAAGAGAATAGAAATGTTTTAAATGTAAAATGTATGCTTGAAAAGTATGTAAAAAGTATATTTAAAAAATATTTGTTTCAAAAGTAAATAAAATATAAATAAATCATTTTGTAAATTTAAATAAATTGTTTTCTGATAATAAAAGAAACTTTAATTTGAAACACAAAAAAGATATTTTTAATATTAGAAAATCATTTATTTAGATTTATAAAATAATTTATTTGTACTTTATTTACTTTTAAAACAAGCAAATATTTATTTTAACATAGTTTTTACATTAAAAAACTAATTTTCTTCTTGTAAAGAAGTCATTTTTTTCTAGAAATTTATAATTTTACAGTTCATATTTCACAAATTTAAAAAAATATTACTTTATATTTATTACATATTTTCTAAAATCTAACAAATTTACTTTTTTAAGTTAAGAAATTATATTTAACAAAATATATTTCTTTAATTTAAAGAATTTTTCAATATACATTATTAATTTAAATTTCGATTTTATTATTTTTTCAATAATTTAATAATTATAAATAACATTTATTTTTTTATATATACTATTTATAGAAATATTAACAAAATATTACTAAAAATATTTATTTTTTATTTATTTACTTATTTATTTTTTATTTACTATAAATATTGTATAAAATATTTAGGCTATATTTAATATTTTGAATAAAGATTTTAATACTTTTTTCTTTATGTATAGAAATATTTATAAAATATTTATGTAATATTTTTAAAAAATAATTCGACCTAAATATTTATGAATTTTTATCATAAATATTATGTGCTGTCTGGGTAAATTCCCTTTTTTCATTAAAAAATGTTTTCTTTAACGGATTGGAAAAATATTGTTTTTTTTAATATTTAATGAATGTCAAACTTCTATTAAATATTAAAAACAAAACATTTTTTTAAACGTTAAAAATATGTTTTTTTAATGAAAAATGGGAACTTATCCCATTATTTTTAACATTTTAAAAAATGTTTTTTAAATGTTTTTAAAATGTTTTTAAATGTTTAAATGTTTTTAGTGTTTTGCTAGTTGGGTTTCTTATTAATAATACAAATTGAGGGGTTAATTTGTTCGCAATTTTCAAAAACTCGTAATGATAACTTTTTCGATGTAACTAACCAATCGCATCATCGTTTGACAGATACAATTGTTCCAGTAGAGAAGATAAATTTAATCGATTGTTTAAATTCATTCATGTTGGTGAAACCGGCTTATACTATTAATAAATGAAGGCATATACGAACTCAACGTATGTTTCATAGAAATACATAAAATGGACGTCTTTAAAACGTACAAAAGTCAACGTATTTTGTACATCCACTAATGTACGTAATTAAAACGTCTATATTAGGTCCATGGACGTTGGGACTAAACAAAAACCAAAATTGGACGTCCATTGGACGTCGTGTGCTGTCTGGGAAGGTTACTCTTACTATGGTAAATCTAGTCATGTACTGATAAAAATCGAGTAAGGAAGACCTTTGCAAGGTTATAATGATTAGGTATATATTACGACCTTAATATATTATCCTAATATATTATTTTATAATGTTTTATTGATCAGGTTCTTTTTAGGATCTTATTTATTTTACCTATTATGACGCATTATCAGTTTTTAATACCTTTTGTAACAATCTTATATATAATAGGTTTAATTAATAAATTTTTATAAATTTTTTTATAAAAATATTTATCATAAAAATAATTTATTATAATATCATAAAAATATTTATTATTTTTTAAATTTAAAGTATTATAAAAAAGTGTTGAAATATAAATTCACATATATTTTATATAAAATTTTTAAATACTCAACAAAAAATATGAGTATAATAATAAAAATATAAAAGTATATATTTGATATTTTGCAATATTGCAATAATATTTGAGAAACATTGAAAATTATATTTTTGATAATATTAATTTGTTATTATATAATAATAATGAAAAAATTTGTTATTATATAATAATAATAATAAAATAAATTATTATTAAATTTTATTATATTAATACATATGTATTATTCATATTATATTACAATATACAATAATCATATATAGTTTTCTTATTGTTTATATGTAAAATTAAAATGTGTTTAAGCAATTTTGTGTAAACCTGAAAAAAAATTCTTTTAGTTCATAATATTCTCTATTATATAGAGTCTGACGCAAGTTGTATTTATAACAAAAAATGCATAAAAACATTAAGCTCAAAGGAATGGTCGAAGTCATTTTGCAAATAACCAAATAAACTTTAAAAATATTAAATAAAATAGATAGGCAAATCAATACGCGTATTTACTAGGTACGTTATAATATACCGTGAATACTATAAGTATACATTTTATAAGTAAGAATTGTAAAGTTATAAATTGTAAGAATATCACTGGAGTTATTGGAATCACCGTGTGCCGCTTAATCGTTAGGTTAAGCAACACAGTCAGGATGAATGGTGACCGGCATACCGCTTGGGATTTAAAATTATTTAGAGAGAGTTCGCGAAAGTTTTAATGTTTTAACAATTTTTTGGTTCCTAACAGTTATAAAACATAATAATAATAATTTAATAGTAATAAGAAAACTAGGAATTAGTTTTTTTTTTATGAAAACTATGCGAAAAACTTTTAAGCAGACATTTTTACATTATATCAAGGTTTGTGCAACGTTGATTCAATATTTTTCAATGTTATTGCAATATTGACATTGTCGCAATTCAACATTTTCTCAACATTAATTTAATATTATTATGGTGTATGAAAAAACGTGATAAGGATTCAATAGTATAGCCTGATGAGGACATTATAATGAACATGATTAAGATCCTTTCTTAACGACGTAGCGTTACATGATTTTTCAGAACTCAACATTATAATCTTAAAAGGACCCGACATCCAGTTATGATCAACTCGATTAGGACCATGGGGGAAATTTCTAGTCGAGGAGTTTCCTTATATGATATGGTATCTCATATTAGAAAACCAAGGGAAGAAATAAAGAAAAGCTTTTACTATAGTAGGAATATTGCAATTATAGACTTCAGTCGTAAGTGAAGCTGTATCTTTAAAAGTGTTAAATACATACCATAAAATCAAAATTATTATTTTTTCACCGCGCGTACGCGACCACTCCCTTGCAGACACAACGGTGTTCGCGGTGAATAACCTTCAGGGTGTCATTACATGAAGCGCGGAAACGCGGAAACGTGGAAGATAAAATCTTACTAGATCCGCTACGCGTTCCGCGTCTGTTTTGATTGCCTTATATTACATGCGGCATATTTTGTGCGGAAAAGCGGTATGGGGAATTATAAAATATTAATTTTTAACGATATTTATTAATTAAAATGCTTGTATTCAACAGATAAGCTGAAAAGATAAACATATTATTATAAAAATTGCAGTAAATTAAGTTAATATAATTTAAAAAAATGAATACAGATGTTTATTTGTCACCAAACCGTTCCGCTTTTCCACGCAAATTGTGTTTCATGTAATATAAGAAGAAATAAAATCGTGGGACAAGCGCGGAAAAATCCATTGTCACAAATTGTCACAAGTTATCACAAGTTGTTCAATCTAACCGCCGTTACAAAAGACGTGTTCAAACACGTTCTGATCTGATATTTTTTTGGAATTCATACTTTGATACCTTGGATGAAAAGATAATAGAGAAAAGTTTTGGGCTTCCCGCTTTTCCGTTTTTTCAACGTACAGGAAGAAATAATTTAATTCGCGGAATGCGAAAATCTAGTAAGATTTTGTCTTCCGCGTTTCCGCGCTTCATATAATAGCACCTTGATTGTCGTAAACATCCAATAGCTGCGTTCGCTTTATGCGCTGTAATGGCTCCTGCACATAGGACGCGGTAATGTTTGCCGCGCGGTGGAAGTCCGCACGACAGCCAATCAATATATTGTTTTTCCGTAAGAGCTTGAAGGTTATTACGGAAAGCAGCATATTGATTGGCTGTCGCACGAACTTCTGCCGTGCGGTAAACATTACCGCGTCCTGTGTGCAGGAGCCATAAGGCCTGGAACACAATACGCCGTATGTTGGAGTTGGATGTCGGAACGCAGCCGATGATCCAATAAAGCCCGTATCAGATTACCGACTGCATAGGCCGACCGGACTGCCGACTGTCGATGGACCAATCACAGTGAGGCGCGGAGTCGACGCCACACTGTGATTGGTCCATTGAGAGTCGGCAGCCGTAGTCGGCAGTCGGGTCGGCCTGTGCAGTCGGTAGTCTGATACAGGCTTAAGGAGAACTCATTAGCTTGGTTTACATCGTGCATTTGATACGCGTACTAAATAGTAACTTTCTATTAGATAATCTTAATATCGACAATATCAACGGTGACACATTCAATCAATACAATACGTTTTGTTGATGAGTATTATATTAGCTTAATATACCGTTGTTTGTATATATCATCGATATTAAAATTATCTAATAGAAAGTTATTATTTAGTACGCGTATCAAGTGCACGATATAAACCAAGCCATTCTCAAAAAATAAATTCTCTCATTGGCTCATCGGCTGATTTCCGACTTTCAACTCCGATATACGGCGTATTGTGTTCCAGGCATAAGCGTCATTCTATCTTCTTCTCGCATGTAATGAGCGATAAAGATAGAATGACGCTTACAGCGCCTAAGCGCCCAAAGCGAACGCAGCCAATGGCCTGGTTTACATCGTGCACTTGATACGCGTACTAAAGGCTATCACACACACAATTCCGTAAGAACTTAAAACGTAAGCGTAAGGAAGTCGACCAATCCCAATCGACTCTTCGTAATAATGGAGGGGTTACAAAGAGCCGAGTGCTAGATTGGGATTGGTCGATTTCTTTACGCTTACGTTTTAAGTTCTTACGGAATTTTGTGTGTGATGGCCTTAAATAGTAATACTTTATACTTTCTACTTTATACTTTATACTTTCTATTAGATAATCTTAATATTGACAATGCATATCAATGGCGACGCGTTTAATCAATACGTTTTCTTGATGAGTATTATACCAGCTTAATATATCAATGTTTATATATATATATATATATATATATATATATATATATATATATATATATATCATCGATATTAAGATTATCTAATAGGAAGTTACTAAATAGTAACTTTCTATTAGATAATCTTAATATCGATGATATATATAAACAACGGTATATTAAGCTAATATAATACTCATCAAGAAAACATATTGTATTGATTAAACGCGTTGCCATTGATATGCATTGTCAATATTAAGATTATCTAATAGAAAGTTACTATTTAGTATGCATATCAAGTGCATGATGTAAACCAGACCAATGCATATCAACGGTGACGCATTCAATCAATATAATATGTTTTCTTGATGAGTATTATATTAGCTTAATATACCGTTGTTTATATATATCATCGATATTAAGATTATCTAATAGAAAGTTACTATTTAGTATGCATATCAAGTGCATGATGTAAACCAGACCAATGCATATCAACGGTGACGCATTCAATCAATATAATATGTTTTCTTGATGAGTATTATATTAGCTTAATATACCGTTGTTTATATATATCATCGATATTAAGATTATCTAATAGAAAGTTACTATTTAGTATGCATATCAAGTGCATGATGTAAACCAGACCAATGCATATCAACGGTGACGCATTCAATCAATATAATATGTTTTCTTGATGAGTATTATATTAGCTTAATATACCGTTGTTTATATATATCATCGATATTAAGATTATCTAATAGAAAGTTACTATTTAGTATGCATATCAAGTGCATGATGTAAACCAGACCAATGCATATCAACGGTGACGCATTCAATCAATATAATATGTTTTCTTGATGAGTATTATACCAGCTTAATATACCGTTGTTTATATATATATCATCGATATTAAGATTATCTAATAGAAAGTTACTATTTAGTACGTGTATCAAGTGCACGATGCAAACCAGGCCATTGTAGATGGTCATGCTGTCATGCCTTAATGCTGTCATTAAAATTTTCGGTTGTGTTTGATCATAGTTCAAAAGAACAAACCTGAAATGTAGCCAATGAAATGGTTCTACGTTTCTTGATGAAAAACACCCATGATTGTCATCAGATGAGGGATTTCCCGGACGATTCCATTTTTTTTGTTATAAAAGATTGATCGGGAGAAGTGTGATTGCGTGTGTTCCACATCGGCGACGGTAATCTCGTGACTTCAGTGATCGTTGAAGATCTTCAGTTTATCTTTGGCGAGTTTGAGGCGTCAACGCCTTCAAGTAAAACGTTAGACACGTTTTAATTCAAGCAAACGAAAATGGTGAAGAAAGGTACGTTTGTCATATACAACGTTAACAGAAACCATATTGTCGATTTTCACAAAAAATCGACATCTTGTTGATAATGATATGCGACTGAAAGTTGACATTTTGCAATTAACATGATTTCCATAATGATGTTATAGTACTGATATTAAATATCATTCAGCAAGATAAATAGTAATCAGGCGTAAATCCGGTCTTTTCATTTTTTAAAAGGCACCGCCCTAGACGTCTCGTCGTTTGAATGTAAGAATTTGTTATTATTGCTTATGTTAATGATATAATCGTACGGCAATCATAATTTGTACACTTACACATATGAGCCATTGCCTTAAGTATCTTGTTTATAAGAATTTGTTATTATTTACGAGAATCGTATAATCGTTCGACGATTATGATTTGTATATGTATAAAATGATCGTGTAATATAATTTATACGTAATATAATCGTACACGCAATTTATTTAATCTTAATTTTGAGTTGTGAGCATTTTTATGTCAGTCACTGTTTACTCTCTATTATTACACTGTTGTAGCATTGATATCAAATACATCAATATCAAATATTGTTCTGAGAAGGATAAATAATAGGTACGAATCCAATCTTTCGATTATCAAGAGGTACTCTAGATAACATCGATTACAAATAGGAATTCGTTATTATTGTTTTGAATAATCGTGTAATCTATGACTCATTTAAATTGTGAGTAGTATTTTTACATTGATCAGTACCTAGAATTTTAGGATTATTATAACTTGAGACAATCGATGATTGTCTCTGCAATTTGTTTAAGTATATTCATAAGGCAAATGTAATAAATTAATCATTAAATTTACATCATACAGTAATATAAATTTTTGTCACATTAATGTGACAATACATTTAATGGAAGTTACATTCATATATTATTTTCATATATTTTGCACATATTGTTTTGAGCAAATTTTGATCAGTTTTTTTTATAGTGCTTTTATATTTCTGTTTTATTGTACCATGTATGATAAATATGAGTGACACATTGAACCATTTATAAGGTTTATAAAGCAAGCTTTATAAACTGGTTAGTAAGATTGCGGTTATATTTATATACTGTCTATCTAGGTATGTACTCTCTATGATAAAATGAAATGTTAAGTTTTTCAAACAGTAACTGGTTTTATTATTCCTTTTTGAGAAAGAAAGAAAGATTAGTTGTATCATAATCCAAAGAATCTAATCTATTTATTTAGTTTCCTCTAAGTATTACTTTGGGAAATTTCTTCAGGAAATGTGTTATTTAATTTTTTTCTATTGAAATTTTCAGAAGTAAATTGTCAGAATGTTATTCTTATTTGGAACATTGTTTTATATATTTAGGACTCCTAGGATTCCCTTGTTGTTTAGAGGCACAACTTGCTCAATTATTAAATCGACAGCTAATTGAATTAGCTATATCTTCTTTATTTTGCTTAACCCAGACTTGCAAGAATGTTAGGAATACATTTTTGAGATATCATATTTTCAAAATATACAATACAAGAAAAATCAGCTGTATACATTATGTTGTTCTGTATTTTATATTGCGACTGATTATTTTCCTTGTTATGTTTTCATTTACATGCTTCTTGGAGTTAGCTAGTTATAAGCTGGAGTTATAAGCTTTTCATAAATTTTGACTGGAAAAAGATCATAGAGCATTATTTATATATATAATATACATATATATATATATATATATATATATATATATATATGTATAACTTATATTTATAATTTTTTACTGTTATAATTTGGATGTGTTACCGATACATAAGTATTAATTGAAATCTGATTAGTTTAAACTATTTAAATATAAAAATATTTATATTAAGTATTTGTATTTTAGGGAAAAAGAAGCAACACGCTCAAGCGGCAGCTGCATCGACTTCAAGTACTGATCCTATCCCAAGTACAAGTAGACAACATCCTTCACAACAAACTCCACCGCCACAACAGCAAAAGAAGCAAAAAAAGAAACAAGAACCACAACAGCAGTCACAGCAAGAGCTGCAGCAGTCACAGAAAGAGCTGCAGAAATCACAACAAAAGTCACAACAGCAACAGCAACCACAACAACAGCGACCACAACAGCAGCAACCACAACAGCAGCAACCACAACAGCAGCAACCACAACAACAGCAACCACAACAGCAGCAACCACAACAGCAGCAACCACAACAGCAGCAACCACAACAGCAGCAACCACAACAGCAGCAACCACAACAGCAGCAACCACAACAGCAGCAACCACAACAGCAGCAACCACAACAGCAGCAACCACAACAGCAGCAACCACAACAGCAGCAACCACAACAGCAGCAACCACAACAGCAGCAACCACAACAGCAGCAACCACAACAGCAGCAACCACAACAGCAGCAACCACAACAGCAGCAACCACAACAGCAGCAACCACAACAGCAGCAACCACAACAGCAGCAACCACAACAGCAGCAACCACAACAGCAGCAACCACAACAGCAGCAACCACAACAGCAGCAACCACAACAGCAGCAACCACAACAGCAGCAACCACAACAGCAGCAACCACAACAGCAGCAACCACAACAGCAGCAACCACAACAGCAGCAACCACAACAGCAGCAACCACAACAGCAGCAACCACAACAGCAGCAACCACAACAGCAGCAACCACAACAGCAGCAACCACAACAGCAGCAACCACAACAGCAGCAACCACAACAGCAGCAACCACAACAGCAGCAACCACAACAGCAGCAACCACAACAGCAGCAACCACAACAGCAGCAATCACAGCTGGTAATAAATACTTGAGTTTTTAGTATAGGCCAGTCGTTTACGACTCGGGGTTAGATAGGCTATGAATATCAATTTTCCATGGCCGAGATTCGAGCGCTCGACTCTTTAGGCCTGTTCTTTGTAGCTGCATTGCTGACGTGGTGCAATAAATTGAAATGAGACAAGTATACGTTTTTCTCACTCTAATATTTTGTACTAGTTCAGCAGTGTAGCTACAAAGAACAGACCTTTTGTCTAACACATTCCTGAGGTCGTCTAGCGATCTAGCTGATGGGCGGATCTATGTAAAGCATATATATATAAAGCCTTGGGTCCACAGTGCTAGAAATCAGTCCGAGATCTCGATCCGAGAAACACGTAACCAATAGAACTGTCGCCTTTCCGTAAAAGCTGCAAATGGATTGGTTGCTTTTTTCTCGGATCTAGATCTCGGGTCAATTTCTAGTATTGTGGACACGAGGCTTAAGGGACCCAATTATGAGCGTTCTAGACCCTTCGGAATGGATCAGATCAAATCAGCAGTTAGATCAGAGCCTACTCGACTGTGCAAGACAGTAACGCTATTCGCAAACGAAAAATCGTCAACGAAGAAGAATAAGAGAAAATTACGCAGCGAACACGAAGGTGTTGATCCCGATTCTTTCATCCAATTTTGTTATTGCAATAGAACAGATACTATATATACCAGATACTTTCCGATAGTCGCAGATACCTGAAAGCTGTTGAACGACTTCATTTTAGTACGCCACAAAATGGAAGTTAGTATGGTGATATTTTTACAATTTTCCTTTATCTTCTTTTTCTCCTCTTAGAACAATATATATCTGTCTCTCACAGAATTAACATCGGAGCCGTAGGAGGCGACCACAGTTGAAATATAAATTTTTATTTAAGATAAATAGAACACACATTTTGACTGACTCGCGATCTTTGTTCTAAAACAATCTGTGACTAGCAGAATGTTAGTCAATTTGCTACCACATTTTATTTAGTGTATCCTCTTCTCACGATCTCGTATTTTTCTTCTTTATGCAATTGTATAAAACAGACTTAGTTAATTTACATAGCATAAAAAGAAAATTTGTTGCTATCACACACACATAACGCTGATCTCACGTAAGAAATCGAAGTATCCAACATATGATGCGACACTTATCCATAGGTCTGTTCTTTTTAGCTTGTTGCACACCGATGCAATAAGTTAGAGTAATATAAATATCATCTTAAGAGAGATGAGGCCTATAAGAGCAAATGCTAGGTGTTCGTGCAAGTAGATTGGAATGGGAGGATAATAATGTTTGATAGTATTAAAACTCACACACTGAATGGTTTTCCAGTCTTTCAACATACGCGGTAAATCAAATCTTTCACTATAAAATCGACTCTGAATCTCAATTTAAATTAAAAAATGAATTAATAAATTAACGCGCATTCGGAATTTTAAAAGGAGAGAATTAATTATAAGTTATTGATATATTGATTTACTACTTTAAATAGTGCTTGATGCATGATAACAAGGTAAGCAGTGATTATTAGTATGAAGATCATTCCTAGTAATCTTTACAGCAACAAGCGACTTCGTAAATTAGCATTAATCATATCTTGTATTAAAACAACAAATACTAATGCAACTTAACTGTCATATTAAATCCATCATTCATCATAATAGTAGGCTCTTTAATAAAAATCGATGTATGTTAACCGCAATTTTTAATATGGGGAGAGGAATCTAAACCACGAGCATGGAGACCTTCGCGTATGCAACACCCTCCACCATTCCAACAACGACAACCACAAGTAACTCAGATACAAGAATGGTCTGCACAGCAATTTCCAACACCACAACAGGTGTCGGATCCACATATGCAACAATTTACTTCACAATCTGTACCAGCGTGGGGCCTTCCATGTGGGCAACTCCCACCACAACAAAGAGTAACTCAACAACAAGCGATTCGGGCTCAATATCCACAACAACAAGTACCACAACAGACACATATGCAACCAGCATGGAGTCGACCTCCAGTACCGCATCCACAGCAACCACTAGGGTGGATGCCACTTCCACCCACACAGCAGTTTATGCCACAGCAAACATTTCAACAACAAACGAGGGTTGTACCTCCACAGCAATCTACACCACAGGTAATGCAGCAGCAACCAGCGTGGGTTTCATATCCGTCAACGTCGACTCAGCAAGTTTTAGGTAAATTAATCTTATGATATATGTAGTTGAGAAAAAGTTAATAATGCTGAAATGTGTTGTTCGCATCTTTTAATTATAAACGCATGTGCGTGCATATGGTTATAGTAATGTTATTTTATATTAGCTGGGATAAAAGTTTTGTTATTAGATTCTCATGCATAATTTGGGTATTAGAAGGAAAATAAGAAGTCTTCGTTGGATACCTAAAAAAAATAATCATTTTATTCATAACAATTATTAATTCTTCGAAATTGTATTATTTTTCATTTTATTGCACAATCATGACGAACTATTTTGCATTAATCTTTTATATTTTTAAAATACTTTTGTATTTTTGTAGGCATTGGTGATTCGGGAGCGCAGACTGGAAGAACAACAGGTAAAGATGAACGTACTGAGAAAAGTGATACATCAAGAATGGTGCCTCCAATGACATCAGCTTCCTCTGAATTAGCTAGAGGGATGTCTCAACTTATGTTGGAGAAAAAGGATAAACGGATGAGTGAAAAAGATCTCAATATTCCGAAAAGACGAAATCCTTACAAAGCTGGAACTGTAGGGACGCCAATCCGTGTTAAAACAAATATGTTTGAAATCATATTTAGAGACGATTTTGTAACCACAGCCGTGCATTATGACATCAAGGTTGTTCCAATTGACAATGCAAAATTTAAGAAAGATGATTCCAGACCAAAACGTGAAATAAAAAATAAAACTTTACTTAGAAAGATTTTTGAAAAATGGCGAGTGGAAAATTATCCAGATAGATATCCAGCATATGATGGAATGGCAAATGTATTTGCTGCACGTGAATTTCCATTCATAGATACAGTAAGTAATACATCTTTTAATGTTGAAAAATATGTATAATCTCTAGAAAGAGAATATTCTTTTATGTATTATTTGTCTTTTCTTCTATGTATTATTTGCACAAAAGAGATAGATCAAATTGTAATTTATAATAATGTAAAATTTACGTCCCAACTGTGTAAAATTACAAACTAATAAAAGTCAGTTTTTTACATATTATCTCATCTTTTAATCACTTTGTAAATTTCTTATGATTTGATATAGTGGTTTGGTGAAGTTAATATTCATGACGACGAACGAGACGAAAACAGGAGCTTTGAAATTACCATAAATAAGGCAGGTACTGTTGATCTTTCTTGGATGAAAACAATGAGACCTGGTCTTCCTGAAATGGATATGACTAGAACTGCTGTACAAATTCTGGATATTATCTTGCGCCATGCACCGGCGTCAAGACTTATAAGTGTAAGTCGTGGAAGTGTAAGTGATACAATTTATAATCAGCGTACGTGAATTACTTTGTTAGTAGTGTAAATATATGTTGTAATCTATGAAAAGATATTACTTAATGTGTAAAAACTTCAATGTTGATCTGTATGCATGTATGTGTATACATCATATTATTTATACTTAAGGGGATGTGCTGAAAGAGATAATGAACTCCAAAAATATAACGTAAAGGCGATGATCATGATTACATACTATTTTTTCCGTATTTCTTATATATATAGATCTTATATAAATGTGCGTTGCTTTATTTTATTGTGTTAACAAGAAACATAACTATATATAAAAATCTTTTTGCAAACATTATGTATTGTTTTAAGCTTCTTGTTTTAGTTGTAAAGATACAGAAATGTTCCTTGAAATTTTCGTTAGCGGAGCAAACACACGTGTGGTACATATAATCTGCACGCGGAACTTTTGTATTAAGTAAATATTTACGCTGACAGTTCAAGATATTAACTTTAAGATGTTAACTTTTTTTAAATTTTTATTGTTTTCGTTAAATATTGTGCAATATTCCAACTCATTATTGCATGTACTTTTAGTATGTAAAAGCATTTGTAATTCTATGCAACCAATATAACTTAAACTTTGCAAAAAAATCAGTATAACATTCCCTTAAGTGGACACTTAAGACTATGGCACAGAGAAAAATGTAAGCATTAAGACTAAAGCAGTAAGAAAATTGTCCAAATATAGTCGACTATTATCAGATTGTAAAAAAAATAATAGTCTGTGGTTGGTCAATTTGCTCAATGCTAAATCATTACTTATGTTTTATGTGTGCTGTGGGTGTTAATGTGTTTTAATATTTATTTTATAAAAATATTGATTTATAAAAATACCGGACAAAGTTGGAAAAATAAGTTTTTAAAACAACTCTGTTCGTAATTTATTATTTAAAAAAAAAAAAGTAATTCATGAGCGTTAATTTACTCGTTTTGGAATAATATTCGTTTTATCGTTACTTTCATATAAAAAAATAACATTACAATTTCCATTACTTTATTCACCAATTTTTAAAGGCCATTTTCGTATGATTCTTCATCGCTTATCACATGCACATACAGTGTACTCTTTAAATTTGTTGGAGTGAAATTTCATTGGAAAAATAGATACTCTGATTCGTGATTTTTCATTCATACAGAGCAAATTTTCTGCTCTGAATTTTCAAATGGATATTTTCATTCGAAATTGAAGAAAGATCTGACGTATTTCACCGGCACAAGAATAAATTCACTCCAATCGATTAAAATATACTCAAAGTAACGATTATTTTCATCACCATTATTCCAAAAAATATAATTGTATCACAGTTGCTATTATTAATCCTTTCGATACTAACGGTGACTGTAGTCACTCACTGTTTAACGCTCGCTGTGTATGTACTAGAGGTGACTTTAGTAATCAATTAAAATTACACATTGACTCATAACTTTGGTAGAGTAGAGTATATCTGTTATCTCTATGATTACTGATTATCTTTTATTTCGTAACTCTTTTGTTTTATATTACGAGAATTGTGCGATTAGTGATATGAAAATCAATGTGAAAGTAACGTTTCGACAGCACCGTTATTTGCTTATTACAGAGACTCCAAGTATGTATTTTTACTTCTTCTTGTTTATGGGTGTGCTTTTTTTATTTTTATTTTTCATATTATTACATTTTATTATATTTTTCACATCTAATGACCATAAGTTGCAAAATGAAGAGAATACAGACGTTGCATCGAAGATGTAAGATGCGTTACGCAACAAGATATCAAATATTATGATCCCCCCGCGGCGAAATGTACGTTCGTGTTGCGATTGTCCCGTACTGTGGTAACGTACTCGCGGACAAACCGTATCGAAAGGGTTAAAAAAAACGTGCGGGTATGTATTTTTGTTAAATATAAGTGATATATATAGGTTGGAAAATCACTCTTCCCAGCAGGGGAAAACAGACGAGTAAAAGCGCTAGGAAGTGGTTTAGATCTACATGTTGGCGGATTTTTATCCGCGGTAATTGGCTGGAGACCTTATCTAAATATAGATGGTAAAGTATTATCATATTAATAATCATATTATCTTTAGATAAAATTGTAGGATAGAGAGGAAAAAGGATGAGAGAGAAAGAAAGAGAAAGAAAGGGGGAGAGAGAGAGAGAGAGAGATGGCGTAAGAATGAAAATTGATAGTTTTATGTCCGTGTTCATAGTCAGGTCTTATATTTGATGCCTCCTTAAGTTCTTCAGATGTTCTACGGATTATTTTATTGACTACAGAGCATCTGAAGATGAACTGAAGGAAGCTTGAAATATAAGGCCTGACTATGAACATGGGCATTAGAATTATTCTTATACAAGAATTTGTAACATATCACTCAGTGCGCAGTGCAGGATATCTAATACTTAATTATAAAATGTTAATGCATACATAGAGCGAATCATATTAAACAGGAAAATCCTGTACTAATTTGCAAATTTCATAATAGTTATTCAAAAATTAATTAAACAATATTAACTCATGAATGCGTGAAAAGTGGCAGAATGAACTCATTAGATAAATTCTCATTCAAGATGGCTCTAGCCTGTTGACAATCTCCTGGCAGCATATGATGTTAAGCAGTAGAGGCGTGCAATATACAATCTTCTTTAGTTAGCATTAAACAATTACCTTGATATCTATTGTACACCATATATAAATTGGGATGGGATTTTTCTATTCAGATTGATATCTGCGCAGCAGTCATGGTTTGATTTAGACACTCAGTGTGTATATATGTTGTATATGTACGTGTATAAATATAATTGTATAAATATGTATATCTACGTATGAATGGTGATATATCTCTTGATTGGGTGGGACCCGATTGACCATCGTACGATTGGACACAGATTATAATGATTGGTTCGACTTGGTAATTCACTAGATAATTCTTTGCACCGATTGGTGGTATCCAATCGTACCGTCAATCGGTACCCCCCTCTTGATTTATTGATGTCTTTTTTAATTTATTGATATATATGTATAATATCTTTTATATATTTTCTAGTCGCTCATAAAGCTTTCGTGGCCTCTGAAAATGTCGTTGACATAATATGCGACATACTTCAAATGAAGACAAGGGAAGATCTAAATTCACGAAATGCACGAGATGCAGTGACTCACTATGAAGACAAAATTAACAAAGTTTTGACTGGTGTAAAGGTGAATTATGCGATACCTAATCAACCGAGCACCAAGCGGACACATCGAATAAATGGATTAGGCCCAGACGCCATTAATCATAAATTTGATGTAAAGGGAAAGATGTGTTCGATACAGGAGTATTTTGCTACAGTCAAGAATTGTAAATTGAATTTCCCACATCTTCCTTGCCTTTGGGTAGGCAAAAGAGATGGCAAGACCTATTTGCCTGCAGAAGTATGTGAACCATCTTATGTTTCGCTGACACCGATCAAATAACACAAATTAAAAATTCGCTCATTTACAGTTATGTAAAGTCGCGCCTGGTCAAGCGGTTAACAGGAAACTAGATGAATCGCAAACTACTCAAATGATTAAATACGCAGCTACGAAAACAGATGATCGTATCGAAAAAATAAGGAGAGCGGTAAAGCACATTTCGCACTAATATCCATCATAAAAATATATTGTAATTTATCATGTTATGTATTTACAGTTCAATGGGATCTGTGTGAATGACAGCCATGTTATGCAAAACGAGTTTCATTTGCAAGTTGCTGCCCAAATGAAGGAGGTCGACGCTAGAATTTTAATTCCTCCAGCACTTCAGTATAACGACCGAGCTCCGGCGTTGGTGAGCAAAGGAGTTTGGCGTGCTAAAAGATTTAGTAAACCTGCAAAATTAGAGGACGGTACATGGACTATTGCCAATGTCTGTTATAAAAATATAGACAGAAATTTACCTGATTTTGTGGATGTGTTAAGAAACCAAGGTGAAGTACATGAAAAATTTACTTGTTAAATTTATTTATTTTGGGTTGTTTCTCATAAATTCGAACGCTTTCTTGTTAATTGCCTCACTTTTGTTTGGAAATAAAATCCAATATGATGCTAATTTACAATCTTAAATTCAGATGTCCGTTATTTCATGATTGTAATTAATTAAAATTATATTACATATACAGGGTCGTTAACGCAAGACATACCAATGCACGTGCGTAGAACACGTTAACTCGAGCAAAAAGTCCCCTAGTATTTTTTAAACAACCATGTAAAATTTCAACGAATGCATTAGCATGTCTTGAGTTAAATATCTTCTATTTTTATTATATTATATAAATATATTCTATTTATATCCTATTTATATTATATATTTTTATTAATATTATTTATTTTTAGTATATAATTATAATGATTTTATATTATACAATAATTGTAATATAATAATTAAATTATTTTATCTCTTGCGTTTCTTTGGCTTTTTAGCATCCTATTTTGGAATGACAGTCGGAAAAGCACAGCTCCCATACCCGACAGTGAAACCAGTACCACACGAAATTGAAAGATTCTTCTCCAATATGAGAGATTTGAAGTTAATAATTGTTATTTTGCCAGATCGTACGGATGCAGTATATGGTAAGTACAAGGTAAATTTCTGTATTCACTCACAATTCTAGGTATGTCTGAAATCACATGTATCACAGGCACGGTGAAAAAAATAAGCGAATTAAGAGTAGGTGTATTGACACAATGTATAAAAATGAAGAATGTGCTTTACCCCAATAATTCGACGATATCGAATATTCTTCTAAAAATAAATTCAAAATTAAATGGCATTAATCATACGTTTACTCAGAATACAATGTGAGTACATAACACTTATGCTTTAATATATTGCAGAATTTTCGGTAATTTTGTTTGTACATAATTTGTTTTTTTTCAGGCCATATTGTCTACGTGGTAAAAATTATATGCTCATTGGTGCGGATGTCAGCCATCCGTCTCCCGATGCCAAAGATATACCGTCTGTAGCTGCGGTGACTACAATTATTAAAAAACACATTCCTTTTATATATATTGTTCAAAACAAATAAGTAGCCAACTCTTCAAATGTATCTGCAGATTGATTTGCGATTGACATGATCATTGATATAAAAATAATATTTCCACACATATATATATATATATATATATATATATATATATATATATATATATATATATATATTGAGAATAAAACAGATCAGGATGTTAAGATGAAATATTTTTAAAGCACGTTTATATTATGTTTGATACGAGCATTTGAAGAAATAAGTTTTTAATTATTTTGAACAATACATATATTAATTATATGTGTGTTAATGGAAAATATCATAATTCAGGTCGCTGCAAGTCACGATGAGACTACCTTTAAATATAACGTCACAATTAGACTTCAGCAGCCGAAACAAGAAGAAATAAGCGATCTGAAAGAAATAATGATAAAGCATATACAGTTTTATGTTAAGGAAATGAAAATGCCACCACAGATAATTATCTTTTATCGGTACGTATTGATAATGCTGTTCAATATCAAAACTTTTAAAAACAATTTTTTTGTATATATAAGAACACTTTCAGGAAAAATTAAGTATTCGAATACGTAATAGAAGGTATTTTGTAGATTACGTAATGTAACGGAAAATAAGGAGCTAACTCCATTTTGGAGATTACGATATCAATTTTTTCGTTTTTATTTTTGTTATTTACATATCTGTTTATACATTTATATTTGAATTTAGAGATGGGGTCAGTGAGGGTCAAATTGCAATGGTTTTGGACAAAGAAATAAGAAGCATCAAAGACGCATGCAGGGAATATGCACGCGAGAGACCTGGATTTAATCCTCAGCTTACCTTCGTGATTGTTCAAAAGAGACACCATGTACGTCTTTTCCCCACGCGTGACCAGGATTCAGACGACAGGAACCGCAATGTAAAAGCCGGCACGATAGTCGACACAGAAATCACACATCCAAATCATATTGATTTTTACCTGGTGTCACACGCGAGCATTCAAGTAAGCATTAGTATGTGTGTGTTTACAGATATAGTGGTATTAATAATAAAATGAATATTCTTATCTATAATATCATTTAACTATTTGGAATAAAGAGCATATATTAGAATATATAGATTGTCAATTTTATATGAAGTACATATGTGTTTCTACAGTTTAATGAACATATATCTGATTTGCAATAATTATCCTATATATAATATAATATTTCTGTACAGGGTACAGCAAGACCTACGAAATACAGATGTATTTGTAACGAAAGCAATTTTACTGAAGATCAACTTGAAGAGTTGACGTATCATCTCTGCCATATGTATGCACGCTGCACGAGATCGGTAAGCTATCCAGCTCCAACTTATTACGCTCATTTGGCGGCATATCGTGGAAGAATGTGGATACAAGGGTAAGTAACCGATCACGGTATGATACGGACAATTAATTGGAATCAATCATATGTTCAAGTCAGTTGAGTAATTAGTTATGATGAATTGTGATGACATGTACATTTTCTTCCTGTTTGCAGGGACCGTTACACTGAAATGGACTTTCAAGATAAGAATAAGTGTAAATTAGAGCCTCTACTTAAGATGCCGATGTCTTTTATTTAAATATAAGTACATACACAGTCTTAAGTTGTCCAACATCGTTGACAATGTAAAACAGTTTTTTTTCAGTATGCATTTAAATGTGATTTCTTATATTTTTCTTATATTATTTTTAACTTGCTTATATATGCTTATATACAACAACATAATTATGTATGTTAATTTTTAATTATATATTAAGTGTTTGATTTAAGATATACTAATATTTGCGTAAAACACAACAATCTGAGCTAAAGATTTCGTCGAGATCTGTAGATACGATGTAATCGAAAATGAGTGAGTGTGTTATCTAGCAACGCGCACGATGCGATAAATAATTACCGAGAAATATTTATCATCGCGTTATTCTCATCGTTATTTCACTGTCACTCAATATTCATCGTCGTTAAGAAAGAGTCACAAGTCTCCGATATTTTTAATGAGATTATTCTTCAACATCGTGCGTGTCAGTTTGCTAATCTTGCATTAATCTGTCGAAATTTTTATATGCTTGTTGGAAAAATAGGAGATCTTTTGCTCAGTCTCATGAAGTCGATTTGCATACGTACATTAGCGTGTCGTGTGTTTTGTCAAACATTTTATAAAATATATATAATTTACTGAGACAGAATAAGACATTTATTTTGAGCATTTACATGGCCTAAATAGAACTTGCTCACTAAAAGATATTTTATGAAGATATAAATAATAATATTAACAAACAGAGGGTATATAGAACTAATAATTTGTTATCTATGGTAATTTTATATATTCAAAACCTCCTATTGCATGTATTGTATATTCTCAAAAATCGTGACGAGTAAAGTTTTTATTGGGTTTTTTACCTTTAATCAGGTGTCAATCATGTAGATGTTCAAACTATAAATGTTGGGCTTATGTTATAAATGATGTAATGTTTGTATTGTTCTTGATTTAATGTCTTGGTATTATTTATAGATAGATGTTCATATATATAATTTGTATCATCACACGTTAGCACGAATTAAGATTTCCGATTCCTGATTGTAATTGTATCGAATTATGACGTCAGCAGTGAGGAATTGTGAATTGTTTTCTTGCATTATATATCGAAGTAAACTTGGCATCATTTGCACTCAACGCATAAGTAAACGCAAGTAAAGAGTATAAAAAAGATGAATTTCTTCAAATATATAGCAATATATGCAAGAAAATTTCTCACTTCTAGTGTTATAATTCAGTGTAGCTGCAACGAGGAAATCGAAGTCTTAAAATGTTATAATCGATGTGAAGATGTGTGAAAATAAATATAAACTAAATAAAAAAAAAAAATTATATATATATAACTTAAAGGGACTTTCTGGAAAAGTGGTAAACACAAAGGTATTAATGTTCACTAACAAAAATCACGATTGGGAAATAACACGTTGACTTTATAACATCATGACCGTCGTCACGTTAAAAAAATTACTTTTTTTTTCATTAATTTGGTAATGATGTTATATTTTTTATTAGTAGCGGTAACGGAACATCTTTTTAATAACAGTAACAAATTATTTTTCAAAGATAATTTCTAATCCTGATAAGTCTTATTACAGCAAAAACATTCTATCATTCTGAATCTCATATTTTTTAAGTTATTACACATACGTAATGTATTAGACAAACATGATTGTGATTGTATATATTAGATGTATCAGACACATTGTTTTGTCCTAATTGAAATCGGGTTTTTTTTACTTCACCTTATGTAAACAAAGAAACGCGATTCACTCGAAAATTCATCTCGAAAGTCTAATTTATGTATATAATAATATAAAAAATTTATATAATAAACAAATGTATATAATAATACATATAATAATATATAGAAATATATTTTTTCTGCCTATTAATATTTCTATTTTATTAATTTATTTAGCAACGAGAGAAAAGAAACATACTAACATAATAATATACAAAAAATATAATCACAATTGTAGTATGTAAATTTTCCAACCGTGCCGAGGACGTAACGGAAAAGAGTTGCAAGAGATGGAAAGAGCGAGATGGGATTGGCCATCTCTCTTTTCCTTTCGCTTTCCTTTTACTTGACTATGTTTGTTTTCGACTATGTTTGTTCGTTCGAAGGAACGAATGTGAAATGTAACCAATGAAATGGTTCTACGTTTCTTGATGATAAATATCTATGACTTGCTATTGGACAAGAAATTTTTCAAATGCTTTCACTAGTTTTGCTATAAAAGATTGTCGAGCTACCGTTTAAGCGACAGTCATATTCGTGCTTTCGTTCAGTAATCACTGTCATTTTAATACCAAAATGGAAAAAGGTTCGTATATCATCACATAAAACAATAACAGAAATTATATTGTCGATGCTACAATATATTGTTATATAAAGATTGACATTTTATTGAAAATAAAATATATGTGACTAATGTAAGAAAGATGGACATTTTGCAATTAATATAATTTTAACAATGATGTTATAATATTGAAATCAAATATCGTCTGGCAGAATATATCAAGCGCAAATCCGGTCTTTTTCCAGCAAACAATAACTGTTAGTTATAATTTCCCACTTAACAGTATAACTGTTATATTATACGTGTGTTATATAATAGTTATATTGTTTAGTAGATATCGTAAATTATATACTTTGCATATCAATTTCTTGAAAACTAGATGATCAATGACCTTGTAACTTGATTTGGATGGATTACTAGATGTTGAAATATTTGTAAAGATTTTGTAATATTTTATGCACTATATTTGTTTTGGTGCTCTTTGATTAAATATTTTCTTAAAGATGGGATAATCTTAAATAATCTTGAAGATCTATAATCATTATGTAAAAATGCGAAAGATACGGTAAATTATGAGAAAATATTCAGTCTCGATTATTTTTCTAGTAATGTGCGTTAGCGAAATTTGTGCAGAAAAGTAGAAAACAGAAAGGCAGAATCAATTAAGCTTAATTTGTAATATTCTCTTTATTTCCTGTCTTTTGTTCCTCGTCCTTTTCTGATTTAAGACTTAGGGTTTGAGTTAGAAAGAGATACAGAGAAAGAAGTGAGTAGCAAAGAACAAATTGTAAATTAAATTTCAGAACTCGTGCTGGTAGAACACTAGAAACTGTTGACTACCCTTATAGAAATGTATTACTGTGATAAATATATGACTGTGTTAAATTGGCCAGTAATAAATAGTAATTTTATTATTTGTATAAATAATAAAATTATTAAACGACAGTAATTACTGGCTAAATAATAATTTATCAATATTAAATTTCTATAAGGATACTGTCTGATCACCAGCACGAGTTGTCTTTGTTTTTCTATTTTCTGTTTTTTCGCCAAAGCAGGAATCCCTAGTGTGCGTTTAGCGGTACGTATATGTTTACAAACATACACTTAACACGGAACAGTTTTATTATTAATATTTCTAGCTAAGACTGTGCCGTGTTAGATATATGTTTGTAAACATATCATACGTACCGCTAAACGCACACTAGGAATTCGTACTTTGGCGGAAAAACAGAAAACAGAAAGACAAAGCCAACTCGTGTTGGTGATCAGATGGTATCCTTATAGAAATTTAATATTGATAAATTATTATTTGGCCAATAATTACTGTCGTTTAATAATTTTATTATTTGTATGAATAATAAAATTACTACTTATTACTGGCCAATTTATCACAGCCAGTGATACTTTTCTATAAAGGTAGTCAATAGTTTCTGTTTTTCTACCAGAGCGATTCTAAAGTTTAATCTACAATTTGTTCTTTGCTATTCACTTCTTTCTCTGTATCTCTTTCTAACTCAAACCTTAAGTCTTAAATCAGAAAAGGACAAGAAACAAAAAACTGGAAACAAAGAGCATATTACAAATTAAGCTTAATTGATTTTGCCTTTCTGTTTTCTACTTTTCTGTACAAATCTCGCTAATGCACATTACTAGAAAAATAATCGTGACATTGGATATTTTTTTATATTTTAATGTATCTTTCGCATTTTTATATAATGATTATAGATCTTTAAGATTGTTTAAGATTATCCCATCTTTAAGAAGATATTTAACTTAGAATTTAGAAGCACCAAAACAAATATAGTGCATAAAGTAATACAAAATCATTACAGGTTAGCTGTTGTCTATTTCAATTGTTATCGTAAATTGTGTAATTTGCATTTCAATTTCTTGGGAACTAGATGATCAATGACTTTGTAATTTGACTTGGATGGATTATATTTGAGCAGTACCGCTTTTCTTCCTATGTAAAAATAAAAGGCAAAGTAAATTATGTTCTGACAGAAGATACATGGACTCTAAGTACGAAAAGACGGCAACGGTCTTCGCAGCAACAGAGACAACATCAGCAACAACAAAGCTGGCAGCAAAATTCACAACAGAGGGGGCAACGACAAAACTCGCAGCAAATTTCAGAATCGGAATTACGTCTTGAGAATGTCAATCGACAGCAACAACAAAGCTCGCAGCAGCAGCCGCAGCAACAGCCACGGATGCAGCAGAGACCGGTAACAAACAACTAAATTTGTTATTGCAATAGACCAGATACTGTTTAACCTTCCGGTAGTCACGGGTACTTGAGAGATGCTGAACGAATTTATTTTGATATAACGAAGTGAGAATTAGAATAATGTTTTTCCCAATTTTCCTTTACCCTCTTTTCCCTCTTACTAGAATAGGTCGCTCGTTTTCACTGAATCAACAGCAGAATCGTATAAAGCAACTGCATTTGAAATATGGGTTTTATTTACAATGAATGGATACCCAACTCTCGGGTAACGCGCGATCATCTTTGTTTTAAGAGAATCTGCGACTAGCAGAAGATTAACAAGTTTACTACTACGATTTATTTGGGACATCCTCCTCACGAATCATATCTTTTTCTTTTCTTTATGTAATTGTGTAAAACAGATTTAGTATATTTACATGAATATAGAAGAAAAACTTACATCGTATATATGTAACTATATGTAATTTAGGAACAGAAATCTAAACCACGAACATGGGGACCTTCACGTATGCAACAACCTGCACCACCCCAACAACCACAAGCACAAGTATCTCAGACACGAGCGTGGTCTACTGTAGCTGCACAGAAAATTCCAACACCACAGCAGGTGTCGAATCCACGTATACAAAGACGTGCACCACCCCAACAATCACAAGCACAAGTATCTCAGACACGAAGGTCTGCTGAAGCTACATCGCAATTTTCAACACCACAGCCGATGTCGAATCCACATACGCAACAACTTACTTCACAACAATCTCTACCACCACAAGTAGTCCAGCCACAAGCATGCCACATTTCACGTGGGCAACTCTCACCAGAACAAAGATCTCAACAACAGACACACATGCAATCGACATGGGGTCGATCTCCAGAACCGCATACTACACAGCAAGTATATCAACAAGGGAGGATGCCACTTTCACCACAGCAAACACTTCAGCATCAAACGTGGGATGTACCCCCACAGCAATCTACATCACAGGCAATGCAGCAGCAACCAGCGTCGGTTTCATATCCGTCAACGTCGACTCAGCAAGTTTTAGGTAAATTAATCTTATCATATATGTAGTGTAGAAAAAGTTTATAATGCTGAAATATGTTCGCTGTTGATCGCATCTTTTAATTATAAACGCACGTACGTGTATATGGTTATAGTAATGTTACTTTATATTAGCTGGGGCAAAAGTTTTGTCATTTTTTGCATTAGATTCTCGTGCATAATTTTCGTATTAGAAGGAAAATAAGAAATCTTCGTTGGATGCCTAAAAAAGTTATTTTATTCGTGACAATTATTAATTCTTCGAAATTCTCTTTTTTCATTTTATTACACAAACATGACCAACTTTTTTGCATCCATCTAATACTTTTGTATTTTTGTAGGCGTTGGTAATACAGAAGTATTCAAAATACCGACAAGACGAGATCCTTACAAAGCTGGAACTGCAGGGACGCCAATCCGTGTTAAAACAAATATGTTTGAAATCATATTTAGAAAAGATTTTGTAACCACAGCCATGCATTATGACATCAAGATTGTTCCAATTGACAATGCAAAATCTAAGAAAGATGATTCCAAACCAAAACGTGAAATAAAAAATAAAACTATATTAAGGCAAATTTTTGAAAAATGGCGAATTGAAAATTATCCGAATAGATTTCCAGCATATGATGGAAGGGCAAATATATATGCTGCACGTGACTTTCCATTCACAGGTGAAGTAATTAATACATTTTTTAATGTTTTTTAATGAAAAGTATATATAATCTCTAGAAAGAGAATATTCTTTCACATATTATTTGTCTTTTCTTGATGTATTATTTGCACAAAAGAGATAGATCAAATTGTAATTTATAATAATGTAAAATTTACGTCCTAATTGTGTAAAATTACAAACTAATAAAAGTCAGTTTTTTACATATTATCTCATCTTTTAATCACTTTGTAAATTTTTTATGATTCGATATAGTGGTTTGGTGAAGTTAATATTCATGACGACGAACGAAACGAAAACAGGAGCTTTGAAATTATTATAAAAAAAATAGGTATTGTTGATCTTTCGTGGCTTAGAACAATAAAACCTAGCCTTCAGGAACGAACCACGTCTCAAACTTCTATTCAAGTTTTGGATATTATCTTGCGCCATGCTCCGGCACAAAGACTTATAAGTGTAAGTAGTGGAAGTATAAGTGATACAATTTATAATCACCATACGTGAATTACTTTATTAGTAGTGTAAATATATGTTGCAAACTATGAAAAGATATTAAAAACTTAATTAAACTTAATTAAAAACTTCAATGTTGATATGTATGCATATATGTGTATACGTCATATTATTTATACTTAAGGGAATGTGTTGAAGTAGATAATGAACTCCAAAAATATAACGTAGAAGCGGTGGTCATGATCACATACTATTTTTTCCGTATTTCTTATATATATATAGATCTTATATAAATATGCATTTATTTTATCGTGTTAACAAGAAACATAACTATATATAAAAATCTTTTCGCAAACTTCTTCTGTAGTTTTAAGCTTTTTATTTTAGTCGTAAAGATACAGAAATGTTCCTTGAAGTTTCTGTCAGCGGAGCAAACACGTGTAGTACATATAATCTGCACGCGGAACTTTTGTATCAAGTAAATATTTACACTGATAGTTCAAGATCTTAACTTTAAAATTTTTTATTGTTTTCGTTAAATATTGAGCAGTGCTCCAATTTATTACCGCACGTATTATTAGTATATAAAAGCACTTGTAATTCTGTGCAACTAATATGACGCAAACTTTGCAAAAAGATCAGTATAATATTCCCTTAAGTGGACACTTAAGACCATGGCACAGAGAAAAATGTAAGCATTAAGACTTAAGCAGTAAAAAAATTGTCCAAATATAGTCGATTATTGTCAGATTGTAAACAAAATAATCGCCTCTGTTTGGTCAATTTGTTCAATGCTAAATCATTACTTATGTTTTATGTGTGCTATGAGTGTTAATGTGTTTTAATATATATTTTATAAAAATATTATTTTACAAAAGTACCAGACATAGCTAGATAAATAACTTTTTGAAACAACTCTGTCCGTTATTTATTATACTTTAAAAAAAAAATGTAATTCATGAGCGTTAATTTACTCGTCTTGGAATAATATTTTTTTATCGTAACTTTTATATAAAAAAATAACATATTACAATTTCCATTACTTTGTTCATCAATTTTTGGAGGCCATTTTCGTATGATTCTTCATTTCTCATTACATGCACATACAGTGTACTCTTTAAAATTGTTGGAATGAAATTTCACTGGAAAAATAGACTTACTCTAATTCGTGACTTTTCATTCATACAGAGCGAATTCTTTGCTCTGAATTTTCAAATAGATATTTTCATTCGAAATTGAAGAAAGATCTGACGTATTTCACCGGCACAAGAATAAATTCACTCCAATCGATTAAAATATACTCAAAGTAACGATTATTTTCATCACCATTATTCCAAAAAATATAATTGTATCACAGTTGCTATTATTAATCCTTTCGATACTAACGGTGACTGTAGTCACTCACTGTTTAACGCTCGCTGTGTATGTACTAGAGGTGACTTTAGTAATCAATTAAAATTACACATTGACTCATAACTTTGGTAGAGTAGAGTATATCTGTTATCTCTATGATTACTGATTATCTTTTATTTCGTAACTCTTTTATTTTATATTACGAGAATTGTGCGATTAGTGATATGAAAATCAATGTGAAAGTAACGTTTCGACAGCATCGTTATTTACTTATTACAGAGACTCCAAGTATGTATTTTTACTTCTTCTTGTTTATGGGTGTGTGCTTTTTTTATTTTTATTTTTCATATTATTACATTTTATTATATTTTTCACATCTAATGTACATAAGTTGCAAAATGAAGAGAATACAGACGTTGCATCGAAGATGTAAGATGCGTTACGCAACAAGATATCAAATATTATGATCCCCCCGCGGCGAAATCTACGTTCGTGTTGCGATTGTCCCGTACTGTGGTAACGTACTCGCGGACAAACCGTATCGAAAGGGTTAAAAAAAACGTGCGGATATGTATTTTTGTTAAATATAAGTGATATATATAGGTTGGAAAATCACTCTTCCCAGCAGGGGAAAACAGACGAGTAAAAGCGCTAGGAAGTGGTTTAGATCTACATGTTGGCGGATTTTTATCCGCGGTAATTGGCTGGAGACCTTATCTAAATATAGATGGTAAAGTATTATCATATTAATAATCATATTATCTTTAGATAAAATTGTAGGATAGAGAGGAAAAAGGATGAGAGAGAAAGAAAGAGAAAGAAAGGGGGGAGAGAGAGAGAGAGAGAGAGAGAGAGAGAGAGAGAGAAAAATTGATAGTTTTATGTCCGTGTTCATAGTCAGGTCTTATATTTGATGCCTCCTTAAGTTCTTCAGATGTTCTACAGATTATTTTATTGACTACAGAGCATCTGAAGATGAACTGAAGGAAGCTTGAAATATAAGGCCTGACTATGAACACGGGCATTAGAATTATTCTTATACAAGAATTTGTAATATATCACTCAGTGCGCAGTGCAGGATATCTAATAATTAATTATAAAATGTTAATGCATACATAGAGCGAATCATATTAAACAGGAAAATCCTGTACTAATTTGCAAATTTCATAATAGTTATTCAAAAATTAATTAAACAATATTAACTCATGAATGTGTGAAAAGTGGCAGAATGAACTCATTAGATAAATTCTCATTCAAGATGGCTCTAGCCTGTTGACAATCTCCTGGCAGCATATGATGTTAAGCAGTAGAGGCGTGCAATATACAATCTTCTTTAGTTAGCATTAAACAATTACCTTGATATCTATTGTACACCATATATAAATTGGGATGGGATTTTTCTATTCAGATTGATATCTGCG